TATCCTTTTAACTGGAGAGGAATTGTGGGATCATAGGAATTAGATGATGTATTAAAGAAGCGAGATAAGTATCAACTGATTTAATTTGAACCAAACATGTCTAATATGTGACTAGTCTGTGGTCATATAAACCTTTAAGCTAAACTTTGAAGCTTATTAAAATGTTAAACTACTTTGAATATTTGGAAAACACATAGTAAAATTTCTTTTATTGGATTTTTAAATGGATAATTTCACATAGTCAGTGACTGCTTGGATCCATTTATTGGAGTATGATGCTAATGAGACCAGTGATAAGAATTTGATTCTTTGTGTGCCTCTTACATTTTTCTAGTCTTGACATTAGCTAGTAACAATAATAGTTAACATTGAGCACTTATGTGTCAGAGGAACTGTTATGAGAAATTTTTAATTATTGTCTCATTAAATCTTCGCAACACCTCTATCAGGTAGAATTAATACCTGTATCTTAACAGATGAGAAAATTGAGACAGAATGGTTATTTGCCCTAAGTCTCACAGGTAGTAGTAACAGAAGCCAAATACATGTCCTTGGACTTTTCAAAAATAATTATATATGTGGGTCACTGCAGTTTCATTGCTACTGCTGAAAGAAAGTTTGTTGGCAGTTGTGATAGGTCAGAAAATCTCTGTGTATGAAGGATGTGACTGTAGTTTCATTATATCCAGAGAGTGAATCTTAGGATTGAATTGGGATCTGAGGTGGCAGTGTATACTTAATTTGAGAATTATCATATGTCATGTCAGCTCCCTTTAATACTTTTCCCCAAAAAGGGCTTTATATTTTTAATACCAAAAAAGCATATAACATATAGCTATAATACAGTTCATTCTACAAGCTATATACAATTTTTTCTTATGGCTTATTTTATTTGTGTTCACTACTTTGCAGCCCATTGATGTGAATTATTTCATTGGTCCTTTATTCAAATGAAATTCTTAGTGAGTTTAAGAAGATAGTCTTAAACACAAGCTACCTAATTGGGTTTACAAAAGAGATTATACTATAAATGGAAACTTCAGTGTTAAGTTTATTGAAAATAAATTCCTTAAAAACAGGGACCTTGTCTCATTCATTTTAAATAGTTTCTCAATATATGAACACATGACAGAGAAAATTGAATGTAAGCCAAAAATACAGTAGACTATGAGAAAGCATAGGTCATGTATAATCTAGTTTAAATTTAGGCTGATGCTTTGTATTCATCTATGATATGATTGTCTCAGACAGGGATGTAGATATAAACATTCTTCTTTGAGTCATACTGTATGTGGCTTAATAGTTTTAGTTAAAGAATATTTTGTTTAAGGACTGTCATGCTGTTTCAAAGAATAAGAACATAATTCATTACTGACTTTGCATGCCTTGGATTTTTAATACTACCTTTTTCTTTAGCATGAGTGGTAGAAAATTGCATCAAATTTGGTATTATGTCTACAGAAGATGCAGCTTGCTTACCTTTGTTACCAAATTCAGAAATGAAAATATTACTGATAAAAGATAAGGTAAAGCTGTATATTTTTTGTTTTGTTTTATATTTATTTTCCAAGCAGAATCTCAAAACTTACCAGACTTTAAAAAAATATCTTCGCAGTATGCCATCATGCTTCAGAATGTTAAGTAGACAGTAAATAAAATTTTCACTTTTTGTAAAGCAGTAGAATATTATCCTTGCTGAAAGCCTGTAAGGCTGTTTTGGATGTCAAGGGGCAGATCTTAGAAGTGTCAGCTTTCATTTTGTGATCAACCCACAGTTTACCGTGTATTATTCCATATCTGTCATCTTCATTTTCTCTGTTTGCACGCTTCCTGATACTATAAGAAAATGCTTCAACAACCAGTCAGCCACCTAGTATGATCTTGTACTGCTTTGCTACAGTAAGCAGAATAAGGAGCTCCTTAAATGTAAATGGGATTATTTGTTTTATATAGTAAAACTGAAAGACTAAGTTATTTTTGTTTAAAATACATTGAAAGTGGAGTTCCTAGCTCCCAGAAATTATTCTTGTGTCTAAATTACCTTATACTTTGTTTCCCATGTAGAAAAACTTTTTTAAAAAGTTAATCCATCCATGAATATTGAATGAATGAGCAGATGAATGAATAAATAGCTCAGGGAAAGATAATTGTGTTCTGTAACCTTTAGTTATAGCTACATCTTTTTTCTCTTTTGTCCTTTCATGAGGTATAGTGTGGCACTCTTCAGTAATGTGAGTGTGTATCTAATGATGTTGATAAACTTTTTGAAGTGATTGATGAACAATAATCTGAAAATCAAGTAAGTTTTGATTGGTAAACTGCAGATTTATTTTAGGGTCCAGTATTTTCTCATTAGAAATCCATTATGATATTTCTGTAGGGATCAAAAAAATAGAACTATGTATTCTATAGATGGAAATGGTAGGATACAGTTTGTTGGCAGGCCAGCTTCTCTGGAACACCTTTCCCTACATAGGAAAGAATTACTGTTGACAAGGAAGAAGTCAAGATGATAGCTGTTATTCATTTGTCTCACGTATGCAGCAAGTGTCATTGTGTGGTAAATATGAACAATAAAAAAGGCATAATCTCTTTCCTCAGGGATCTTGAAATCTAAAGTGACAAATAATTCTCAGGGTGCTATGTTAAGGGAAATACAGAATTCTATGAGCTTATGACTAATGGTAGTTCTATTTCCTGAGACAAAGAACTGAGAAGTGGCAAGGAATTGAGAAGTTAATTTTGGGTCATGTGACTTGAGGTATGGCTATTCCAATATAGGAAATAGTTGAATATACATCTTTGAAGCTTTTATATAGAACTTTCACTTGAAAAAATAATTTTTCCCCCCTCTTACTTTCCCTAACACCCATTTCCCTGTACATAAAGCATCTCGTGTCACAATTTGTGGACTCAGTGAATGATTCTGTTTTAAATGTTAGATTTTATTGAAAAAAGTCTATTAGAAGCAAATGTATTTTTTCCAACACAAGGACATTTCATATGTGTAAAATATGTAGAATCCCCATACATTTTGTGTGTATATGAACCTTTTACCATCTTAAATGTTATATTTTTTCCCTCTTTTCAATTTAAGTATATAAGATTATTATAAATGCTGTGTGTGGGAGGGTTGTTTTAAGCAAAAGAAAAAAAAAAGGATGGATTGGCTCAGGAAGTCAGATATTGTTTTCTGGGTTAATCTGAGTGTGAATCCTCAAATAATGCAGGGATTAAAAAGTAGCAAACTAGGAATTGAATTCACTGTTGAATTTGCAGGCAAGTTATCCAAAACTGATAAATTTGAGTTAACAGATAAAGCAAATTGAGATTGTAAATACTAGAACATTCTTAGAAAATTTTAGCTTTATGCCTGCCATCCCCAACCCTCAGGCCATGGCCTGGTACCACTCCTTGGCCTGTTAGGAACTGGGCCATATATCACTGCCTGAGCTCCATCCCATTGTCCTACCCCCTTTGCACCCCCCCACCCCCCACCAATAGGTGGAAAAATTGTCTTCCATCAAACTTAGGAACCAGGCTGCACTGCAGTGGAACCAGTCCCTGATGCTAAAGAGGTTGGGGACTGCTATTTTATGCCATCTAAATCTTTTCAATATTTTGCTTATACTATAATTGATATAGTGAAAATAGGTCAGTATCTAATTTTTATAATCACTAGAGCCTTCAAACCAAATTTAATTAGCTTAGATATTTTTCACATAATTTACTTGTGTAGTACATACCTTTATAAAAATTTAAGAATGCAACCTTATGGAATATGTAATTCAGATCATAGCACATGTCTAGAAGATGTTAATACATTAAAAGATTGTGAAACATATGAAAGAAACATCAAAAGTGGTAAGCTCTGTCTCACTTATAGTTAGTGAGATTGAAGCTGCTGCCAATTTCTGTATAAACTGACTATGGTTTGAGTACTTGTAACTTTTTACTTAATTTAACAAAGACTAATTATTTTTTAATAATTTTGAGGGTAGAAAACATGGTCTTTAGCATAGAAGAGCTTTATCTGCCTTATTTTGGTTGGTTCAATTTGTTGATTTTGGTTTACTTTTTGAAATCCTGTATTTATGGTCTTAATTTGGGGCACTTTGTACTTAACGGTTAATTTGCATTAGAATTTATTTGGGTGAAGTTTCTGGTGGAGAAGGATAAGTAAATATTTAATTGAAAAAAATGAAAATGTAAATGTTAATAGAGGCTGAAGATGAAATATTTTGCAACTGAGAAATTTTCAGGTAAATTTTAATCTTTGAAAAAAATTGAATTTAACAAGTATTTTTCATATTACTATGTATAATCTGTAATATTTTTTAACCTTTCTATGTAAAATAAATTAGAGATATAGAAAATAATATAAAATCATAGTAATCTTTTTAAATGGCCTTATAACTCATAGCATAAAATTCAACCATTTAGTTTATGGTTCAGTAGTTTTTAGTATATTCACAGACTTATACAACCATTACCACAATTTAATTTTAGAACATTTTCATCACCTCAGAGAGAAACCCTGTACTGATAAGCAGTCATTGCCCATTCTCCCTGCCCTTTTCAACCACTAATTCTACTTTCTGTCTCTATAGATTTGTCTATTTTGGATATTTCATATAAATTGAATACCAGTAACTTTTTGATCAGTGTCTTGCATGTCTCATGAGATGACTAGCTGTGAATAAGTTAGGCTTATTTCACAGCTTAATAACAATTGTTTCCTTCTTGTCTGACCAGGAAAAAATTTTCAGTAATTGGGAGACTGTATCCTGATTTAAACCAAGAATCAAGCTCTTTGCTAGCATTATAACTCAAAAGAATATATGTCATTAGTCTTCACTTCAGTAGTGTTTTTCACTGTGGATTGCTCAGTAGCCCTTCAGCTTTCCTTAAAATGACACTATAGTGAAATTACTATTTTTCTTCTACATCTTGGACTTCAGACTTGCATTGAGTTTATTGAAATGTGTTTACCTTTGCAGCTGGCTTGTCTAGAGTCTACATTCTTACTCTCCTGCTAAGTCCAAGAATGAGGAAGAATTAAAAGCAAGAAAGGAAATACAGAAGAGATTGCTCAGGCTGAGGAGGGCAAAGTGGTAAGAGCAGGATTAGAAAGGGGGTATTAAAATTTTAAGGCAACTGAATTTGTGGGTAGCAGAATGAAACTTGGAGGCTGTTTAGGAGAGAATGAGACCTAGAGGGAAGAAATAAAAGGCAAAATAATAAAATGTAGTAGAAGATAAGATAGGTGAAATTTTTAAATTTTTCATTATCGAGTTTTGAACTGTAGTCATATGTCAGTGAAGCACAAAAAGCTCCCTTTTCTGATGAGATTTAGTACCCTTGAGATTATTTTCTTTCTAGAACTTTGTGTAGGAATTTTGAAATTGAATTATAATCATATGTTCTTTTTGGGTTGTTCCAAGATCTTCAGGTTGGAAATGGTGCAGAGTAGGAAACCCATATATATCTCATACATAGTTTATATCTTACTCATATTTGCTAATTTCAATATCTGAAGTCCTTAGGGAGTTGTATTTGTTATATGCTAACTCCTACTCACGGTAGCTTGTTTCCTTGTGATTTTCTTTTTATAAGCTCATATTTGATTAAACATTAAACATTTCTCCATCATCTGTATAATTGCCTGTAATTTAATTTCTCCTTTTTGTAGCATAAAAAGTTTCATTTTCTTTATTATATTTAATAACTTATTTAATTAGCCAGTATATTTTATTGGTTTCTGCACTTGCATCTTATTTCTCTGGGTTTACTTTTCTTGGTTCTTTAGTAATCCTTTTAGTAAGAGAGTATGACTTATAAATGTCCTTAGTTTTTATCTGAAGGTATATTTTATTTTCTTTCTTAGCTGGATATAGAATTCTTGGCTGATAAGTTTCTTTCCCCTTCCCATCAGCACTCTCAGAGTATCATTTCATTGTCTTATGAAACTTTGCAAACTTGGATCTCTAAGATTTCTGATCTGTGCCTGACTGCTATGCCTTTGTATGTAATATTTTTCTCTAGTAGGTTTTTTTTCTTAATTCCTTTTCTGTATCCTGTCACCACTATTTACTGTGTGACCTTGGGCAAGTTTAAAATGGAGATAAAATTGTATCTGCATCATAGGCTTGTAATGAGGATTAAGTAAATATATGTGAAGCACTTGGAACAGAACTTTGCATATTTTAAGTATGATATAAATACTAGTATTTGTTTTGTTTTACCATACTAGACATTCTGAACACATTTGTATGATATGCTTAGGTATGTGTATATGTTGTTTTATCCATAGCTACTCTGAAATATGTTGTTGACCAGAAGACTTCTCAGTTTTAGAAAATACCTTAGTCTTTGTAGTCTTATACTGAATGGAAGTTCTGTTTTGTTTTCTTTCTTTTCACTCTTCTTATCTAATGTTTTTGTATGCACCTACATTTTCATCTTGGGGCTTCCATCTGAAACTGTGTCTTTTATTGGAGGCTTGGTTTCCATGATTCTTGGAGACTTACCTCTCCAAGAATAAGACACAGACTAAGAAGGTTTCATATTTCTTGTCGCTGGGCAGGTAACTTCATCTAAACTATTGCCCCAGGCAATGGTTAGTACCAATGGTTAGTGTTTCCCCAAAAGTAAGACCTACCCATAAAATAAGCCCTAGCAGGATTTCTAAACATTTGCGCAATAGAAGCCCTACCTTGAAAATAAGACCTAGTGATGGGCGTGGCTATGCAGCCTATCTGCACAACCCATGCATTTTGTTGTGGAGGGGTAAAGAAGATGAGCAGCCCTTCTAATCTGCTCCACGAGATCTCTATTGTTCGACATGAGAGATTGAGGCCAATGGTTCTAAAGGAAATAGAGTCGTAAGAAATTCAGGATGGAATTCGGGGTTTAGAGAGTTACAATGATGTTCCAGAAAACAACGACTTAACTATATTTGAATAAATGTAGATTGTTGTACCGTACTTAAAGAAAATAACATATCCCCTGAAGATAAGCCCTAGGGTATCTTCTTGAGGAAAAATAAATATAAAACCCTGTCTTATTTTCGGGGAAACATAGTAGCTTTTTCTGGCTCTTCTCACAAGGCTAGTAGAGCCTCTTCACCCCAGGCATTGGTTTCAAGCAATGAGCCTGAGTTGTATTCCAGCCTTGCATGGGGACCTTTTTAGTCTCTGTTACTGTCCCTGTTACTATCCTGTAGGATGTGGACTTGGGGCCATCTGTTACTGGAGCCCAGGCTGATTTGTGTTTTAAGGGTTTATCTTTTGCAGTGGCTTGGTCTTCAATTTTCTGGTTTTATAGTTGATGTATTTTTAAAATATGTTTGTAACTAAAGTGTCACATCAAAATGTGAATGTACAAAACCATTTGATTGGGAGTTGTTTTAGTTCATTTCATATTCCTATCATAGAATACCACAGACTGGGTAGTTTATAAACAATAGAAGTTTATTTGGCTCATGGTTCTGGAGGCTGGGAAGTCCAAGGTCAAGGAGTTGCATCTGGTGAGGGCCTTCTTGCTGCAACATTCCATGACAGAAGGCTGAAGGGCAAGAGGGGGGCCAGACTCATTTCTACTAGGAATCCATTACTGAGATAAGGGCATTAATCCATTCATAAGAGCAGAGCCCTCATGGCCTATTCACCTCTTAACAGTCCCATATTTTAATACTGTCACAATGGCAATTCTGCTTCAACATGAGTTTTGAAGGTGACATTCACACCATAGCAGAAGTTAGCATTTAAAATGAATGTATATCATACATATTCTTCAGAAAGATACCAGTTTACTCCCCTACCTATGAGAAGTATATTTTTTACTTCTTTGCCAGTAGTGGGCATTTTAAATTCTTAATCTTTGAAAAAGTAATGTGTAAAAATTAAATTTGTGTTTAATGGCTAGTGAGATTGGTCATTGCTCCATATATTAGCCACTTACATTCTTTTATTCATTGAATTGTCTGTTCATTGCCCATTTCTTTTCCTTTAAAGTGTTCATTTTTATTGTCATGTAAGAGTCCTTATGAATTGTAGGAATGTCAACTTTTATCATATATATTGCAAATACTTAAAAGATGTTTGCCTTTCAGGTTTTGAGCTTTGTTTTATAATGTAGAAGTTTTATTCCTCTGGAATCAGTCTTTTTCTTTGTGCCATTGTCATCCTTAGAAAGATCTTCCCTAACATAAGATTATAGAAATATTTGCCTAGATATACTAGTACAGTTTTATTAGTACTTTAAATTTAGTTCTTTAATTTTAAGATGTGAGATAGAGATTCAGCCAACACCGCTGGAGGGCAGGAGTGAATAGGCTAGCTGCTAGCTGTTCTAACACTATTGAATCTCTTTTCCTAAAACTCTCTTGGGGAGTTCTGTTCCACTGATTAATTATTCCTGCATCAATGTTTCCTCTTAAATACCATAATTTGAAATTAAGTTTTAATATCAGATATTGTAAGCTATCATGTTTTAAAGAATGTTTTAGCTACTGACACACATTTCTTTGTTTTTATGTATTTTGGAATCATTTCATCAAGGTCTGGGAACACAAAGGTCCAGTTATGATTATATTGAATTTATAGATTAATAAAAGGAGGATAACCATTATTACAACATTGAATCTTCCTATCCAAGAAAAAGGAGTGTCTTTTATTCCAAAGCCCTCTTAAATGTCCTGAATATTTCTTGTTAATTATTTAATTTAGATATATTTTTATTACTGTTTTCCATTAATCTTCTAAGGGATTATTGTTAATGGTTTTTCATATGATTTTCTATAGTCAGATAACCTAATTGAATTGTTTTCCCTAATGTTTGAAGTTTTGAGTTTGCCATCACATAATCATTAGCTACAAATAATAATCTCTTATAATTTTATGCCTCTTTTTGTCTTGTCTTACTGCACTGGCTACTATTTCTGGACATTGCTGAGTTATAGGGGTAAGAGTTGGTATCCTTGTTATTGTTTCTTTCCTGGAATTGTGCTAATCACTGTGCTTTCTCTTTGGCTTGAAATATATATTATCATTTTAAGGAATGAATTATATCAAATGCCTTTTAGCATATGATGGAAGATCCTATGGTAGGGGTTTTTTTGAACTTTTAAAAAGATGACTTATATTATTAATAAGCTGCAAAATAGTTACGTTTAGAGCTTTTGCATCTGTATTAATGAGTATGTTTGGACTCTAGTTTTATTTTTAGTGCTATCTTTGTCAAATTTTGTATAAGGATTATGGTTGGTGGAAAGTTTTTTACATAATTCACATAGTTTGGGTAATTTGGGAGTTATATGTTCCTTTAGGGCTTCAAAGATCTTGATTTTGAAATTGTCTTATTTTGATACACTTTTACTTTTAATAGCTTTATTTTGAAAACAATCCAAACTTCAAGAAAATTTACAAAAATAGCACAGTGATCTTCCATATTTATTTGAATGACCAATTATAACATTTTGCCACATTTCTTTTCTAAACTCTCTTTCCCTCTGTGCGTACTTGTGTGTCTGCATATTCTCTTGATGCTCACATACAGATTTTGTTGTTTGTAGTTTTGCTGAACCATTTAAGACTCAGAATGGACATCATGACCCTTTACCCTTAAATGTTTAAATGTGTATCCCTAAAGAACAAGAACTAGAACAGTCTCTCATAACCATAGTTCAATTATCAAATTTGGGAAATTTTACATTCATGCAATACTGTTATGTAATATACAACCAATAAACCAAGAGTCAGAGTTTATCAGTTGTCCCAATAATGTCCTTTATAGTAATCCTGCCAACCCTACTCCTTTACTCCTTACTCCTTCTAAGCCAGTCCACAATCCCACATTACAGTTTGTTGTCGTATCTCTTTGATTTCCTTTAACCTGGAATGGTCTTTTAGCCTTTTGGATTTTGTTTTTCATGAGTGCTGGAGTTTTTTGAGGGACAGTTTTTTGATAACTTTATCATGTTGTTCCAGAGTAACTGGTCTTTATTCTAGCACATCTTGATTTAAAAAAAAGGGTAATTTGTCTTCCAAGAACTGTCATTTTCATCCATATTTTCAAATTTATTAAAAGAGAATTGTAGTGTGATTTATTTTTT